TTTAAAAACATGTCCATTATTGTTAAGATGCTAAACCAGTCTGCAATTATAGAAAGGTAACTTTTAGCAATAAGGGAGAAAGAGTGCTGGATGTAAATGCAACTTAACCATTATCCTACAAAATACCTTTTCTTAAAATTCGACAATCACTCTTTTCATAAGCAGATAAGGCATTAATTGCCATTTATTTTTACATTATTATATTTTGAAATCTATTTACAACACCCACAGTGCTTTTTCTCTCTTATTGATTCCATGGGAATCATTTCAAAGTAATTCTGGGGAATGAATGAAGGTGATTTTCTTCTCTAAATTATCTGTCGATCCCAGCTACCTAAACTCATCTGTGCTTTTAATGGATCTTGCATGTTCACTGGCCAGGTCAAAGAAATATCCAGGACAGTCTTGAAGAAAGGAAGGAAAGAATTCTATATGACAAGGTACAACACAATACACCCATTAGGCTAAATCTATGAACGAAGGATCATAAAGATTACACCTGGAGAAAGAAATAGAGGAAAAGCAAGAGAATACAGGAGCAAGGACGACCCAAGAGGAATTCCCAGGGATAATGTGGAACACACAGGAAAGGACAAATTATTGGACTAATTAGTCTCATGACTCGCTCAACTCTGCTGCATGGTATTTTTCTAGCTCTCTTATCCATACATAGTTGGCTACTCTTCACCCCTCTCCTCTATCAAACCATGTTTTTCCGGACTTATCTCTAGCTAACTTACTCTTTATTTCCTATGAAGCCACTCCTGGAACTTGTCACAAAGCTCACAGTGTTACTTGAAGTATAACAGCCAGGAACCAGCAATTTGGGGAGGTATTCCTGTTATTCCAGAATCATACAGATGGGAAAGAAATGAATCCAAGAACTCTAGGGACACAACAAGAATGCAGGAAAAGAGTTAGGCTATGGGGAATAATACCACTAAAAAGGAAGAAAATTATCCTAGGGACAAAAAGTCAAATTAGAAAGACGACTGTTTATTCATCTACTCCTCCCTGACCTGGAAAAGGCTGAAGTATAGATAGCTCTATAAATTTCATATTTCTGACTTTATTTTCATAGAATCTAAAATAAACAGGACATTTTCCTGTGAGTTTAGACCACTGGGAATTTGCTTCTTAGCTCTTTCCTTTGCTTTTGTGGTGGAAGCCCAGGGCAACTCGACTCCTTTTCACCAGTTTTCAGTATTCCCAGATGTGCAGTAATACTAACCACACTCTCAGGGTCATTTAGAAGTTTAGCTAATATATAGCAGCAAAACACTCTTCAACCATTATATTAGGTAGTAGAGGGATGCTGACTAAATATTAGCCAACTGGTAAATTGCTATAATGATTATTTAGCTCAAAGCAATATTCCAGAACCTCATGAAAAGGAAATGTAATAAGAACTTCATTTTTTAAACACTCCCATAGCTAAAACAAAGCAGAGGTCCAGGAGAATTTTTTGAGAACATTTCCTTGAATAAAGGTAACTTTCCTTTTAGAGGCATATGTTTTTTTTTTTCCTTCTAAGAGACACCACGTCTCTCTCTTGCCTGCTCCTCAAAGGAAGATTGAATACATTGGGGAGTAGTCCTCTTGCTCATCCCACCTAATATTTTGGCAGCAAGGCAGAACATAAGTCATCTAAGCATAAAGTGTTTAGTTGAACATTTGAGAAGCAACTTTGATTGATGGGGAAAAAACACAATTTAGAGTCTTCTAGTTTGACAATAACTAGTTGTACGATCTTAAGTAAATCATGTAATTTTTATGCGCCCTCAATACCTTTTCTCTAAAATGAAATGATCCTTTAGCCTTTAACATCTTCTGTTATCATATTGTTACATAACCTTATTCTGTTATGAGACAAGAAAATTATCAAATGGTGGTCCAAGACAGACTTTTAAAAAATAATGATAAAATATAACTTTGAATACCTTTCAAATCAGTTGCAAGTTGACTCTCACCTTATCTGATGAACTTCTAGGGGTGATAGAATATTAATTTCATCTTGACTTAATCATTTGTATTTATTTTCCTTCTCACTGGCCTGAACTGTGGACAACTGCTTTAACTGGACATGTGCGTGGTTGCCATCATTCGCATGAACCAACCTCGCTTGGTCTCAGATTCTGCTCGTGTCTTGGTCATGTTCTAACACCTTCCAAGTCTAACTCCAAATATCTTTATAGTGAGAACCACATGACGAAGCAAAGCACACAGATTGAAAATTTAACTTCCATTGTTGCTTTCATAAACCTTTGAAGTCTGTTGCACCAGCATTTTATTGAGAGTTTGGACTGCATGGTTGAATGGATATCCATTGGCTCTCTTGCTGGTGGTCTCGGCTGACAGATAAAGAGTGAATGGGTCTTGAAACATCCCTGCAATTCCTAAAAGTAATTTCTCCAGTCATGACTGCAGGGCAATAAAGCAGGACATTTTGAGAAAAGGTGGCAAGCATGAGGGGAAGGAAGAACCCGGGTTACCGCCTATCCTGTGCCTCTCAAGAGAGCTTCTAACACCAGACCTGTCAATCTGTTTCTACACTTATCCTCATGACATTAAATTCAAAAAGAAAGGAAAATATCCTTGGGGAAAAGAATGTGATATTCTAAATGTACAGGATATAAATTGGGATTTAATCAACAGTTTAGAGCATCATTGAAATTAAAAGAGATAAGTTAGGCTATTTTTTTTCCAGATGGGAATAATGATTTATGCCTCTGCCCTATCTTAGAGAGGTTTTGGGAGGATTAATGAGCTAATGTTTGTAAAGCTCTTTAAGCTCCTCATATGGAAGTGCAACATAAATACAAGGTGAACGATGATAGCAAACTCTATATAGAGTTGAATCCCTAAGAGTAAAGCCCCTGGAAATGAGAAGCTGTGGCAGGTCAAGATGGTAAATCCCTGAGTTCCAATGCCAGAGGAGCCTTGGTTTGTCATCATATGTATTTTTAATACTGTTTAAAATAGTACTTCATAGTATTAATAAGCATTTCTACATTTCCTATTAATCACGATGTCCCTTGTGATGATCATTTTTTGATTTCTATTCATAAAATGAGATAGGCTTATTATTTCTATTTTATAGATGAAAAATTGAGATGTGAAAATTGCAAAGACATCAATGATGACTCACTTGAAATCATTGATTCAATATTATTGGACTATGGCCTGGATTAGGATTCAAGAGATGTGGGCTGCCATCTGGCTCTGGTTGTATGGCCCTGGGTGAGTCATTTAATTTATCAGTGACTTGGTTTTCTCTTCTTTAGATTAAGGAGGTTGAGCTAGCTAAATAATCTCAAGTCCCACCTCATGTTGAAATTCCACAACCCGCTAAGTATTCTTTGAGTACCTAGTGACTCTAAGGCATTGTCTATGGTACTATGAAGGGCATGCAAAACAAATACAACTTCAGGATAGTTCCTACTTTTAAAAAGTTTATACTCTCAAAACATCAATGGGGCCGGCCCCGTGGCTTAGCGGTTAAGTGTGTGCGCTCCGCTACTGGTGGCCCGGGTTCGGATCCCAGGTGCGCACCGACGCACCACTTCTCCGGAGGCCACGTCCTACATACAGCCACTAGAAAGATGTGCAACTATGATGTACAACTATCTACTGGGGCTTTGGGGGTTAAAAAAAAGGAGGAGGATTGGCAATAGATGTTAGCTCAGAGCCGGTCTTCCTCAGCAAAAAGAGGAGGATTAGCATGGATGTTAGCTCAGGGCTGATCTTCCTCACCAAAAAAAAAAAAAAAAAAAAAATCAATGAAATACTACCACACACCTATTAGAATGGCCAAAATTTGGGACACTGACAATACAAAATGCTTGCGAGGATGTGGAGCAACAGGACCTCTCATTCTTTGCTGGTGGAATGCAAAATGGTACCAGCACTTTGGAAGACAGTTTGGCAGTTTCTTACAAAACTAAGCATACTCTTACCATATGATCCAGCAATCATGCTCCTTTGTATTCACCCAAGGGAGTTGAAAACTTATGTCCACACAAGAACCTGCACATGGATATTTATAGCATCTTTATTCATAATTGCCAAGACTTGGAAGCAACCAAGATGTCCTTAGTAGGTGAATGGATTAGTAAACTGTGGTACATCCAAACAATGGAATATTATTCAGTGCTCAAAAGAAATGAGCTATCAAACCATGAAAAGATGTGGAGGAATCTTAAATGCATATTACTAAAAAAAAAAGCCCATCGGAAAAGGCTACATACTACATGATTCCAACCATATGACATTCTAGAAAAGGCAGAAGTATGGAGAGTTAAAAGGTCAGTGGTTGCCAGGAGTTGGGGCAGGTAGTGGGGGTGAGGAATGAATAGGCAGAGCACAGAGGATTTTTTGGGCAGTGAAAATACTTGTTATGATACCATAATGATGGATATACGTTATTATACATTTCTTCAAACCCATAAAATGTACAACACCAAGAGTGAACCCTAATGTAAACTGTGGACTCCGGGTGGTTATTATGTGTCATTGTAGGTTCATCAGTTGTAAAATTGTACCACTCTGGTGGGGCATATTGATAATGGGGGAAGCTATGCATGTGTAGGAACAGGGAGTGTATGGGAAATCTCTGCGCCTCCCCCTCAATTTTGCTGTGAACCTAAAACTGCTCTAAAAAAGTAAAATTTTAACTTAAAAGATAGTTTACACTCTAGTTTGTTGACAAGATACATAGATTCACACCTACACATACTTGATAACATTTAAATAAGCATGCAAAACAACACAGGAATTTCTTCAATCACTTATTTCCAGGCCTCCATACATACACATACTATAGTCATGCATAATTTATCGAGTGGATACATTCTGAGAAATGTGTCGTTAGGTGATTTTGTCATAGTGTGAACATCATAATGTGTACTGACGGGGAGCAAAACTTGCCACCCCAAAACATGTCTCTTTAACATGGGGATTATTTTAGGCTGATTATTTTTAAGAAACAAAAAATTCAGCAAGTTTTTCTTGTTACCTCCCCCTTAACTGCCCAAAAGAATTCAGATTAAAAAAATCTGTCTCAGGAAGGGAGCTATTGCCTTAGCATAACATGAGCCAGGTGGTAGCCAGGGAAGAACCTAGAAAAGCCAGTTTGCTGGGCTCCCCTCTCTGTTCTTCTGTTTCTGTGTGGTCAAACACTTATTTTCCAAATGTTTGCTCCTTTTCACCTACCAGTGAATTGCCTTCCTTCCCTTTGAAGTCCCTGACTCTCCCCACCCTAACCTCCAACATCTTCTTTTGTCTTTAGCTGAGGATGGTATTTAAGGTAAGGGCTTCGGCCATTTTGGCGAGTTACTCAGTTTTCCCTGGTTTCTCCCACATATACATGTTATTAAGCTTTTGCTTGTTTTTCTCCCGTTAATCTGTCTCATGTCAATTTAATTCTTAGTCCGGGCAGAAGAACCTAGAAGGATAGACGAAAATTTCTTCCTCCCCTACAGTACTTACACAAACTTAGATGATACAGCCTACTACTACACACCTAGGCTCCATGGTACTAATCTTATGGGACCACTGTCGTATATCCCCAGTGCCCAGCACAGTGCTTAACATAGGTGTTTGCTTAAGAGAAAGGTGTTGAATGAATTAAAAACATCTCTACCCACACTCCTAAAACAATCTTGAATTGGCTCATCTTTTTAGTTACCAGAAACCCTCCATCCTTACCCACATTCTATTACTTTCAATGCCTTTCGTTGAAGATTCTCTTCCTTGTTTAAAGGGAACTGTGGGTTGATGCAGAAGTGTCTTGACATGAGTACAGCCATGTTTGGCCATTCCATGGACCTACAGCCACGAGCACACAAAGAAATATAAAGTGGCTTTCTGTGTGTTGGGAACTGGCCCTTCTCCCACAGAGATAGTTACAATTTGTAAGATTACAAGACTCTTTGGGCGTCGTAGCCTGGGGTGGACTGGCCATCTGTGCTGGGCTGGGACGATAGCCAAGGGGCTCAATGCACGTACACAACTGATAACCATTTGTGCATGAGAACACCAAATGCCTACTCTGCAAAAACTAACTCTGGAGATTACTCATACTATATAAGCTGCTGAAACCTGGGGCCTGGTGAGAGTCTTGCCTGTAGGGGGGACATCTTGCCCAGGACCTCTTTCGATTGGCACTCCCGCCAAGCTGTGTCAATTAAAGGGACTTTCCCTGGCGTGAGGGCATGAATGTTATAAGTACCCAATCTGATGTTTCTCTCTTGGTCAATCTGATGTTTCTCTTTTCAATCAATCTGATATTATTTCCTCTTTTTATTGACCTATTTGGATATTATAAGTATCCAGTCTGTTTCTTTAAATACAGTTACTTCCTGTATTCTCCATATCTGTTAACTTGTGCTTTACTCTTCCCTACATAATAAAATATACATTTAGTCCATTCGTTTGGGTTGAAAAGTTTCTTTTAGGTCTCCAATCGAATCCATCAAACCTGATACAACAAGAGGCAACGGCATTCCAGGGAGAGAGGGACTCTTGGTGGGATTGAGGCGTAGAAGGCCTCCTCCCTTTTCCTCACTCTACCAGCAAAGTAGTTCCCAAATCCCGTCATCTCCAACCCTGAGGTCTCTCTTAAATCCAGCCTCTTTCCTCCCCACTGTAATCGCAGTATTTCAAGCCCCCAGGATGCGTCACCCAAGTTACAGAAGAGCTACCTCCAAATAAGTCTTTCTCCTTCAAGGCTGACAGACACACAGCTCTGCAAGACCCCTCTCCTGCTCTGGGACACTGAGGACACCCCTGATGAATGAGAAAAGTGTAGGCTCCTTGGGTTGCTTTCAACTTCACCTGACATCAGACATGTAGGTACCCCTATGCTTCAGTATCAATAGAGAACTTGCTATCCCTTGTATAAGGTCTACACTTTCTCATTCCTGAATTTTGATAACACTAAAGGAAATCTAAATTTTCCATTTCCTTTTTGTCTAGGCCTGAAATATTTGTACAGGGAACCACTTACAGAATCTCTCATAGGACCTATCTCAACACTCAATGCTGGAAAACAACACCTCCCTCCTTAAGAATAAACAAATATGGAAAAACCAACACACACACTAACAGACATTGTAGTTCAAAAGAGGGCCCAAATTGGGACTCAAAGCAATAGACTAATAGGCTCTTTTTGAAATAGAATTAATACAAGAAAAAGAAAACCTTAGAAAATTTCAATCTGTTTCTGAAAATACGCCCAAGGATATTGATCCCTGGCACTGAGGTAGGCACTTCTGGAGATGGAACAAATTAAGATCAGTAAAGATTGTACAGAGATGAAGAGAACTTTTGGTGAATTAAAAATTGCAATAAGAAGACAATAAAAATTATTAGAAGTATGAGAAAGAATGTAATTAGTACAATAAAATATTAGCTAATAATTAAATCCAAGATTATATCAACAAAAATAGAGAAATAGGGTGGAGAATGCAGAAAAAAGTAAGCCAATTTCTCATTTTAAAAGTGGCATCAATAAGAGGCATTCTTTTTTTTCCTCCCCAAAGCCCCAGTGCACGGTTGTATATCCTAGTTGTAAGTCCTTCTAGTTCTTCTATGTGAGCTTCCGCCACAGTATGGCTACTGACAGATGGGTGGTGTGGTTCCACAACCAGAGAACGAACCCAGGCCGCTGAAGCGGTGAGAGTGCTGAACTTTAACCCCTAGGCCATCAGGGCTGGCTCAAGAGGTTGACATTCTTGATATTGAAAGTAAAGGAAATTTTTTTAAAAAAAAAACCTTCCAATTCTCTAGAGTAAAAATGAAGAAAACAAAGTGCCTTATAGCAGAATATTTAAACAAGACTATAGTGTAAGGTTCAGGCATTGCTAACATCCAGCCCAGTGCCTGCCACATGGTAGATGTCCGATAAATATTTATTGAATGAATAAAGGAATGAATGTAATGAAAGATCAGCAATTTTACTCAAGAAAATAAATGTGAATGGGCTTAATATCCTTATTAAAAGAAACAGACTTTCAGATCTGATTAGAATGTAATTTATAAGAAATTCATCTAAAATAATATGCTAAAAAATTAATGACAGAAGGACAGGCAGGGATATATTAAGGCTTTTGCTATACTGTGAAGGACTTCAGGGTACCTCAGAATGAGAACAGAATAAGGCTAGGCCTCTGATTGTGGGGTCTCCGGTTAGTTCTGTTAGACTCAAATCCTCCGTCTCTTCAGTCTGGTCATTAATTTTAACTGCGAGTTTTCTGTCATCTGTTTCTCACAGATCTGTACATGTCCTTGTCATCACTGCACCCGCAGTTTATTGGTATATTTCTTTCTACTTTTAAATCAACTAAGTCCTGATGATTTATAAACCAAAACAATATATTCATGTTACCTGTGCCACCATCCTGACTGAAATCCACAACGAGAAGACCTTTTCTTTTCCATTTTAGACTAGCATCTCTATTCAAATTAGAAAGGTATCATAATGTGAGAAAGGAAATGGTTACAAGGAGAAAGTTGGCTTCCATGGTGCCAAAGGCAATAACACTGCAACTTAGGTTCAAAAGCTGCCTTTGTCCTTCTGAAGCATCATTTTCAATGAACTAAACGTGAATCCTGGTATACAGAATTGGCTATATACCAGAAGATTTGTGCCAAACCGGAAGTGTTGTTCAGAGGAATTAAATTTCATCTATAACTGAATAAATTTATCAATGGAAAAAGATGCTATTACAGAACCACAGAATGCTACAGTTGAAGAGAATCCTTTCAATCCTAAACCCTAAATTTACAAATAAAGAGAAAAGAGAAGAGAAATTATTTATTGAAATTACACAGCTGAAAATCCTAGATCATAATGTTGCCAACTAATAGAACCTAGTGAGGCTCTGTTAAATACTATTAATAAATACTATTACTTGGTAAATTATAAAAGAATGATGTGACAGTAAAGTTACAGAAGATGATTGACAATTCAATACGAATACTAAAAAAATTAATTCTCTTTATCTCCTTAAATGAAGGTCTAATTGTGCGTGTGTGTGTGTGCGCGCGCGCGCGTGTGTGTGTGTGTGCTTGTGTGTGTAGAGCAATAATCTGGGAGAAAAATGATGAAGACAGAAAAGGAGTGTTTATAAAAGAAAGTCAGGGAGACAGAAAGTGGGGAAGAAAGTGGACTCCAAGTAACTGTTTCACTACCTTGCTCAAAAGCTCAAAAGTAACCAAATGTGGAGACCTACCTCTGATAACCCGGGACCTGGTTTTCCGCACCCCAAGAGAGCTGGCCTTTCCACAGGTCAAAGGGCAAACTCGGGAGAGGTACTAACTGCCTCCTTTTTTTCTAGTCTTGAGAGGAAAACAATTCTCTTGTGGTTTTTACCTGGAGGGTAATAGGTCAATGATCCAACTAATAGATAATTCAGTTCCTATAGATCATACAACTCACCTGAAGTAATTGAAACCCCATGAAATTTTCTTTATCTGTTTACTATTTATCTATTTATTTTATCTATTTACCCTGATGTATTAAAAATAAATACTTTAAAAAAAGGACAGGTTTACTGATAGTATAACGCTGAGAGCTAAAATATATTGAGTTCTTACTAGGGAGGCTCTATTTTAAGCAGCTTTCATGTATATTATCTCATTTAACACTCATAACCACTCTATGAGGTAAGTGCTATTATTATCCCCATTTTTAAGATGAGAAACCTGGGGTTTAAGGAAGATCATGGATTAGAAATAGGTCAAGCCAGGACAAACCCAAGCATCTTGGACCCACATGCTTAAGCCTCTACACCATGGTGGATCAGATTCACTGCTCCAATCCTACATATATCTACGTGGAGAGCATGGAGACACCTTTGCAATTCTGTTCTCCCAGTTTCTTTCTATTTGAGTTTATTAACAATGAAAATAACAGTTAAGTAATGTTAAGAAATCAATTAAGAATAGAAACATTCATCACTGTGGTTTCAGAGCTTCATTGCAGTTCTGCCTGGTTTTCTAGGCAGCAGTGATGTAAGGATGGGTGAGAGTTCTCCCTCGTCGTTCCAGATTAGCATTGCAGCCTTTAATTTCCATGAATCTGGTTTACTTGATAGCAGCAATACAAACGACACATATGAAATGAGTACATGGCTGTATCTTTTTATCCTCAACCCAGGGGCAAACCCCCCACCCCACCCCCACTTCATAGGAATCATTCAGCATCTTCTTCTAGTAAAAGGTGTAATCAGAAAGAATTAGGCCATTGCTGTTCCATTTTTTTTTTTTTTTTTTTTTTGAGGAAGATCAGCCCTGAGCTAGCATCCATGCCAATCCTCCTCTTTTTTTTTTGCTGAGGAAGACCGGCCCGAAGCTTATCCTTTTTTTTTTTTTTTTTTTACTTTAGAAGGCTGCACTGGGACTGCCTATAAAAATTTCCTGTGGGGGGGCCGGCCCCGTGGCCTAGCGGTTAAGTGCACGTGCTCCGCTGCTGGCGGCCTGGATTCAGAACCCAGGCACGCACCAACATACCTCTTGTCAGGCCAGGCTGTGGCGGCGTCCCATATAAAGTGGAGGAAGATGGGCACAGATGTTAGCCCAGGGCCAGTCTTCCTCAGCAAAAAAAAAAAAAAAGAAAGAAAGAAAAGAGGAGGATTGGCATGGATGTTAACTCAGGGCTGATCTTCCTCCGGGGGAAAAAAAAAATTTCCTGTGGGTCTTCCCACCACTCCCAGATGGTAAGGTGAATAACAATTATTTAAATCCAGCTTTCAATTTCAACCTTAACCCAGCCAATGTTTTTTACAAGGCAGTTCTGGATTGTATCCAATTACTTAAAATTACTTCCAAAGAAGTGTTAGGTGATGGATTTTTTTATATATGGTGGGGAAAAATATCTGATAAAAGCTGAATTCAGTATTTTCTTTTGATGAACATATGTGGTTAATATAATAGCTTTCTCAAAAAAATTACCTAAGACACATAGAAAGGATTAAATCCTGTCTGATGTCTGTTGGTTTTGAGAGCGTTTTGCATGCTTTTCTTACAGCCAGATTGAATTACTGTAATTCTTTGTTTGCAGCTTTGCCAACAGCATCATTACAAAGGTTGTAATGGCTCCAGGACACAGCAGAGAGATGATCTTGGCACCTGTAGAAACCACGGCCTCCTTTCTCATATCTCAAAACTTCCAAAATATTCTCTCCTGTCTTTCAACCTAATCTCTTTAAAAAATGTGGGTTTTGCGGGATATAGGAAGTGTAATTATGTTTACCATGCTATTTGAGATTGGTTGGAGTAGACACGGGAAATTCCCTCTAAATGTCTTGGCTAGATTGGTCTTATTTTTATTTCTGGAAATTACACAGCAAGCTTTGGGAAAATATTTCTTAGAGCATGTGAACTGTTTAGCCCTTTTATTTATCTCTTTATTTTGTAAAAGTACATTAGTGATATTGCGTTTCAGAGTAATTACTCAGTAATGCTGCACAATTCATAGTTAATTTGAAATCTTTTTAAGGACTCTAAAAATCTTAATTTCCAAGATTTAAAACATTGACTCACTGAATTCCTTCAGCTGGCTGTCAAATATCCAGAAATGGGATGAAGAACAATAGGGTAAGTTACCAGTTAATGCGTTTATCTCTTTTCAGAAATAAATCTTTGACCTAGGGACTGCTGAGTCTACACAGTAGTGGCAAATTCTGCAACAGACTTTCTAGGTCTGACTATTGGCTCTATCACTTACTGAGTGTACCACCTTGAGTTTACATACTTTAATTTTCTCTGCCTCCGTTTTCTCATCTACAAATAGGAGATAATAAACCACCTGCCTCGGGATGGTCATGAGGATTAAATAAGCGAATGCAGGTAAAACACTTAGAAACTGTGACTCATATCTTATGAGCACTCGATAAGTATTAGTTGTCGTTGTTATAATTATTAAAAGAACTTTTTGTTACTTCTAATGCAATTCTAGCATGATCTCCTTTCCTTAAGGGAGTTGCAAATAGTAGCCATACCCATGTTTATGATAATTTTTCTAATCTAGAGCAGGGTCAGGAAACTAAGGCCTGTGGGCCACAGCCGGCCTACTGCCTGCTTTTGTAAATAATTTTGTAAATTAGTCTTATTGAACACACCATATTTACTCACATATTGTCTGTGGCTCTTTTACGTTACAACAGCAGACTTAAGTAATTGCGACAGAGATTATAACTTCTGGCCTTTTACAGAAAATGTTTGCCAACCCCCGATTTGGAGTAAAACAATGTTTCAATGTTTATTTTGAAGGGTCAGAGAATGATAGCATGGGAAAATATTGGAATTTGAACCCAAACACCATGGCTTTGTCTCTGTCTGTGCTGCTGGTTGCTGTGTGGATTCAAACAAGTCACGTTAACTTTCCACATCTCAAGTTCTTCGTTCATAAAAATAAATAAAAATACACATAAGAAGGTGATCCTAATTTTCAGCTTACATAATCACTGTAAGGTTTAAGTAACATGCATTAAAAAAAACATGTTTGGGCAAATTTAAATTGCTAAGCAAATTTGGGGCATTAATCATTGATGAGGTTACCAAATCTATCCCACTCATTTACCTTCTTGATGACAGAGCCTCTTGGTAGGTCTAAACTTGTCCTCCCCAGGCTGGTTCGGGGCCTAGTCCGGTACTGAGGCCTCCTATAGCTGGTAATGGATAATTTCTCCCCAATTTGAGTCTTTAGAATAATGAATTGGGTTATGGGATACAATGAACGTATGATTAAGCAATTATTTTCTTTTCTCTCTGAAGGGTCATCGTTAAAAAGTAGTGCTTTCCAGCCAATGGCATTGACGCACACACAGCTCTGAGGCCCTTTGCCAGCTGGCTTCACTGAATCTCTGACGCGCTCTCCGCATTCTGCTGTCACGGTGTGTTCACTCCTCGCCAATTTTGCATTTCTGTCCCAGGGCTCTTACATTCGCACCTCGTGTCTCTCCCCCGTGCTGGGCTTTGGCTCATTCTTTTTCAGGCAGAATTTTGCCCTGTGTCTAATCCCACATTTATCACACTTACTGCCTTAAAGAAGAATACATTCCACAATTGCTTTTTCTATTTTTCTGAAAACTTAAGATCCTGATCCCCTGTCTCATCCCAGACCAAGCTCTGAGGAGGAAACACAGTTGTGTCTACAAAGCGATGGGCTTTCTTTTTCATATGCAGCACCCTCCCTCCCCATTCTCCGGGGTAGTGCACTGTGGCTTATCTGTCATCACTCTGGGTGTCATATTAAGAAATTCATTCTGTTAAAAGTCTGAGATTTTAGAGAATGGAGAATCATAGAGCTAAACCCTGTGAATAAAGCCTGTCTTGTGTGTGACCAATGACAGCAGGAGACAGTTAGGGACACACAAGGAGAGGTAGAACATAGCAAAGAGTTTCCTACACTTAAAAGTTCTTTAATAACTCTCCTGTCTGAGCTGTTTTATCACTTAGAAAGGCAGAGGGTATCTGTTCTTTGGATTTGTGGTAAGTAAAAATTTTTATTCTGCATATGCTTATTACCAATTATGATTTTGACAGGTTATAAACATTATATTACATTATTATAGTAGTACAAACATTTGGTTTCATTCTTCCAATGAATGCGGGAATATACAGAACACTTTATTAATCATACACTAAGCACTACAGAGTAAACAGCTCAGAAATATTTAAAATTCTGGGGAGGAAAGACATTTATTCCAAAGACATGCAGAAAGCTTTCTTAAACAACAAATAGAAGTACTATCATGCTAGATCCTCTTAGCTTATCTGATCAAACTCCTCAAGGTCAAAACTTTAGAAGGGACCAGAGTTTGGTCGTAAAGAAAATCCTCAGGGTTCCATAATTACAAAAAGTTTGAAAAGTTTCTATTTAAAAAGTGAAACATGCCAAAGACATTTACACCAATATAATACAAAAATGTAAAACAAAAACACACATATTTTCACCTCCCAAGATCTTCAATAGCTAAAGCTATTTGCTCTTTGGGCCAAATTGTTGAAGATTGTGAATGAAAAATGTACCACAAAAAAACAATGACATTAGTTCTGTCCTGCTTTTCCCTTTGAGTCACCTGCCACGGAAGGGCATTCAGTAAATATCAATAAATATCAATTTTGCACAGTAGTTCAGAGAATGGGCTTTAGAGTCAGAAGACACTGGATTTAAACCCCAATTCTACCACTCATTATATGAGCCCTTGGACACACAAAACTCAACCTCTATGTGCCTGTTTCCACATCTGCAAAATCAAGATCCTAATGCCAATCTCATAGGTTGCTATTAGAATTAAATGAGATACATGTATTTGCTCACAATGGAATTTTATATAATTGTCAAAATAAGTGACTGACAGCCATACTCAACGACATGCATGAATCTTGGCATTATAATATTAAATGAAAGAGGAAATCCTAAAAGATAACATACAGCATGATTACCTTTTAATAAAGTTAAGAAAAACTAAAATAAAAAGTATTCTTTCCTATCAAAGGAAAGCAAGGGAATAAAGAATACGGGGTTCAGGTTCTGGATTACCTTAGGTGAGGAGAGCAGATGATGAAATAGGGCTGGGGAAACCATATGGTCAGGTGTACATTACCATCAAGGTCCTACCTTTTGTTTGGGGTAGGAAAATCTCTGTATTTATTACTGAATCTTAAAAATAGCTAAGTAAACAAGAGTAGGGTATAAAGCAGTTAGTTTAATGAATAGTGACACTGAAAACATAAAAATGTTCTAAGAAAAATATACCTTTGGAGAAAACAAATAAAATAGCAAAAAGCATCTGACAGTCTATGGTGTTTTTGAAATAAAAAGTCCTATGATTATTTTCAGGCACTGAAATGCACATGGTAAATAATGAATTAGGTGTAGTGAATATTCCCTTCGTGGCTAGAAAGTGTTAGTAAATGACTAGGACTCCTAGGAATTATCTGATGATCTAGAAGCCTAGAGCTTTTTCTCTGTCGCAAACTCTTAAATTTGTAACTAGGACCTAGTGGAAGATGTTGATGACACAGTACAAAGCTAAAGCATAAAGCCAATGTCCTTTGGAAGCATCAGCAAAATGAATACAGATTTATTCATGCTTCCATTTCCATAAGAGCGAATGTGAAAAAAAACGTTGTTTTCAAATATCTATGTATGAGATATGTGGATAGGTAGGTAGGTATATAAATAATTGTAATAACAAACTTCCTGTTGTTTCCAATTATTATGTTACATCTCTGGGCTTATAATGTTAAGAGATTTCTATCTTTTACAAAATGCACCACTACAAAAAGTAGAAATAATAATTTACATATGTGAACTCATAAATGTGTGAGATAAATGCTCTGAGCATCCCATTTTATAGATGAAGAAATTGAGGTACACAAGGATCGTACAAGAGACATGACCAAGGACACAACTGGCTGGGGGCATTAACCAGTTCACTAAAGCTGTGATATAGATACGGTAGAGAAAAAATATATTTCACAACATCCAGCCTACTAATAATCAGGATGCTGTGTAAGGTACATGTTAAGTTCAAATAACACAGAGGGAAATTGAAGATTCCATATCCCTGCAATGGGGGATAGGGTGAGAGAAGTGGAGATGAAATAACAAAGCTTCTGGATATTAGACTTTAAACAACATAACCCATTCGCCTTGGCAAGATGCTTTCATTTAACTTCCAGTTTGGTCTTGTCAATTCAATGGCAGAAGAGGAAGTTTTCAATGAAAACAATTTGTAGGTGTGTAACGCAGACAGTTTAGCAGGAGGTATTGTGGTCTTACCTTTGAGGCTGCCTCCTCTGTGCTATGCAGGTGAGAAAGGTGAGCCTGCCTGCCTGGCAGAGGGAAGGGGACCAACCTGTGACTACTTTCTCTGGTAGATTGCTGGAAGACTGCAGGGCAGAGGGTGTGAGATAAATGAAAGCCTTTGAGAAGAAACAGTTGCTTGGTCCCAAGAAGTTCTGTCCTTTTTGGCTTTCCCCTTTCTCCTCTATAAGACTTTTCATGCCAGAAGGTTTCTTGACATTGAATTCATATTCTACAACCCCAAAGCCTCAGGCTGACACCAGACAGAGCCCACATAATCACTGCATTTACGGGAGGGTTCACGCAGTACAGGCTAGTGTGGGCAATGAGAGAAAACATTTGAATTTTAAACTGCTTTTGAATAGACATCATGTAAACGTGGAAACAAACAGGAAAATGCTTCTCCTTCATGGACATACAGCGAACACACACACAGCTGTGTTGCTAACCTTAGCATTTTTCTATGATGGAATATGCCTGTATTATAGGAAGCTCTTTTACTTTATATCTTCCTTCCATAAATAGTTGATTCTTTCATATGTAAAAATTATGTTTCCTTTTGTTAGCATTTATGGTCTTCAATTAAATGATGTGCTTTTATCATACCAATTTATGGAAGTATTTTTAACCACATTATTTATAGAACATTTAGGTCTGCCTTTCAAAGTCCTCAGTAATCTTTAGTGTTTGCTGGTCTGCTTTTAATTTATCAGAGCCCTCCCTCAACAGGCACTGCACAAAACACACAAGCAGCGGAGACTTCCCCTATACAACGCGTACTTGATATGCTTCATGCTCGTCTTTCTACACACACAGACGTTGGCGTATAAGAAACGTGGAGGGTGTCTATAAATTCAAGGCAACGTTTAAGTGCACAGTGATACATAGATACATGGATATAATACTTTATGTACTTGATAAATATTTCATCCCTACCATAAAGAAAGCTTTTTATCAACTTTGATTGTTTTTTTATTACCTTAAAGTATTGCAGTTCTTTCTCAGCATTCATTGTTCCTTCCTTTTCTTGTCTCAGACAGGAATTGAAGATGAAAAGCTCTGTATCTCTTAGCCACCCTTTCAGTTCTTTGATCCTGACCTCCAGCTGCCTCACCAGGCTTCCGCTTTCAGGAGAGAGCAGGTCACGTGGACCCGACCCACTGTGCCCTGCCATTGTGTCCTGGATCTTCTCTCCTAGGGTTCTCTAATGCATCAGATTAAAAACAAAAACAAAAAACACCACCAACAAAAAACAAAAACATAGATTAGTTTAGGTACCAAAAACATACCACAGTATGGCTGGTAACTAGAGCCACCTGGCAGGTGTCCAGCCATACCTGCCACCTCACGACTGACATTCAGTTCAGAGCAGCTCGTTGCTCCATTTAGGATTTGAATTCTTGAGCAGTGTGTGTTGTTCTGACTACCACTGGAGGCTTAAGAAGACCTCATTCACTTATAATTTCTTTTAACAGAAAGGAGAGTTGACACAAAAGTTCACCATGGTCACTGATAAAAATTCATTTGAATTCTCATGACAGGAGTTTACAGTAAAAAATTCTCTGCATAAAATTTTCAGGAGATAGAAGTCTGAGTTTAATCAATATACTAAAGAGGCTAAGAGTAGATTGTGTATGGGGAATTATAGTCCTCTTTTTGTTTTGTGAAGTACAATTCCTCAAAGCACATGACTGAGGGTTGTTAGGAAGGGGTGGCCTCCTTGGGGCTGGAGTTGAGTTTACCTGACTGGGAAATTGTTCAACCCCACAATTCTTCCCACTTTGCGTTTGTGGATGCTAGACTTTGTGGCATCTAGCATGTTCGATGCCACATACATGCTAGATAGTCTAGCATGTTTGTGGATGTGTTAAAACAAATCTCCATCCACTACATAAGAAGTCTTAGATTAGCCACTATGGCGTGAATGTGCGTCAGGGAGAGGTTTGGTTTGTTTTTTTTTCCATTTTTGGTGGAAACACTCCCTTTGGAGAATCAGTAGGAGTTAATCTATAATGATGAATTAAACCTACAAAAATAAGCTTTATAACACAAATAAAATTAAGTCAACAAACATTCATCTGCTGTGTAGTGTTCTGTAAATAGTATGTTTAGGAGATCACAACAGAAAAATAGCCTTTCTCGGCCAACTCCCTTGTATTTTCATGGTGCAAATATTGATAATTTGAAGACCCTCAGTGGAATCCAGATTTAGCTATTGTTTTTATGCTGTAACAAAAGTAGCAGCAGGAGGTGAAATCAATGCCCTTGGAGGGTAGGGTCACAAAAAAGAATTTATTGCCACTTTTTTGTTCTGGAACAGTTTGCAATCATAAATTCTTCATAAACAGAATACTTCAGAGAATGGTCCGTCTTCATAAATATACGACAGAGGACATCAATTTCATTTAATTCACAATTTGTGTCAGCACAGCAGATGCCAATGCCTGCCTTGATAGGGTTGTTTAATATGCAATTGAGACAGAGTAATATGCAGCACAGGGGACAAAATTTCACAGATTAAACTGTACGCACCACTGACATTTCATTCTAATGTATTTCCATTCCACACTGTTCACCTTAGATGAAAGTAATATTAAAAACCATATCCCTCTATTTTACTATTGTTAGAAGTTAAAATCCCTGTCTTTAAATTTTTTTCATGCCAATTAAAATGTAATCATGCCAATTAAAGCAGTACGTCTGGTGGTGTTAGTCTGGCACCGGTTTTGTTAAAATCTTCCCTCCACCCTCCTCTCTCTCTAAATCATTACAAAACTCTGCATATTGTATTTGAATATTTTTGTCAAAATGGCAACCATTTTTAAAGTGTCTGACTCATAAAGGATAGCTAAATACTGTTTCTTTTTTTAATATTATGTTGATTTAAAATTTTTATTGAGGCAATCTACATGACATACTTCAAACAATTTTCCAAAAAGATTATTGCTGGTTATTTATCAAATTAGAAAGACATATATTAAAATACAACGTAAACAGACAATCTCTTTATCTATCAAGCACATAAAGTTGCTGTTCTCATCTATTTAGTAAACAATCTTTTAAAATGTCAGACGCTAACCACATTTCTCCTGTATGAGATCAATGAATTCTGTAGAGTTTAGTAAGTTCTGATTTAAATCACCATATTATAAAGTGAAAGCGATTAACTACTATTAAAAAGTAATGTCACAATAGGTCAGAGTAAAAACTTTCAACGTTTTAACTTACTTTGTACAACTGCAGAGTGTAGTGAATTTAGATGAGAAAGCTAGGATTTAAACTTGTGGTTTTTTAATCACCTAGATTAAGCATGGCATAAACTGAACACTGGCATTCCTCCAAGTTATCAAGGTACACGAAGAGCTTTTTATTCAAAATATTTTTGGAGTATTATTTCTTTAAAAATTAAAAAAAGGCAGGAAATGGAAGGCATGCAAAATTATGCTCCATAACTGACACCACCCATACTTAGCTGTTATAATTAATCATTTAAGTAATTGACAAATTTAGCTTACCCTTGATTTGAAGTGAAGGCAATTTAGGAGAGAAGTTGATGAAAAAATACAGTTTAACCTCTCTCTCTCAGCTGTCTTCCAACAAAAGGACAGCACTGTCTCCTGCACAGTGCCATCCTGGTCTCTGGGTAACCGAATCTCTATATTGCCTTTTTGCCAGATTCTTGCATCTCAGTCTTTGGCTGAGACCCAGCCCATCATTGCGTGAAATGAATTACATGAAACTTTTTTTTTTGGCTTTTGTTAAAAGTGAGCTGGAAATTGAGGCACAACATAGAGGCCAATTTAATTCTGCAATTCAGATTTGGGTCAAATTTGCATCTTTGTTTTGGTGGCTTTAGTGTGACTTGAAGGCTGTAGTGACAATTCCACTTTTCATCTGAAAGGTACAGTAAATAGTTAAACAGTGGAAGTCTCTAACATGTACCTTCAGAATCAATTCTATTAACATTCATTCAAGCATGATAGTCAGTGTATATCAGATATACTGTATTATAGTTGACTTGGTGCATACCCATAATACATGGCATATTTTACTTACTTTTTTTATGTATTAAAGAACCAAAATTATTAAAATCAGAGAGGAGACAAGCTCTGAGTAAAAAAAACATCAACAGAAGAGGAAAAGCAGTATTTTTCCCCCATAATAGCATGAATAGCTTGTTTGAAACGTAGGTAGTGAATTGAAAGACAGAGATATTTGTGCCTCAAATTAGAAATCAGACAGACAGAGCACTTCACTACACACAAAAATGTACGTATAACCTACAAACAGTAATAAAAATGCAAATACCCCAAGCAGTTCCCATTTTTCATTAATTGAATCCACTTTTTCAAGGAGATCATTTGGTAGTAAAACGCCACGTTTCTTCAAAGCTTCAACCTTACTAAGCAGCTCCGTCTTTTTCAGGTCCCTGATGGACATTTCCACACTGTATCGCTAAAAGGAAAAGAAAGAGATACCATTAGGGAGGGAGGTAGTCTAAGAAAATCTCTGAGCACAGAGTTAGGGATGCTCATGGGTGTTAAAAGTTTTTGTTTCCAATAAATTTATGGGGAGGCTAAACCTAAGTACCTTGAGTAGTCGAGGAATATTGCTGAAAACAGTTAAAAATATATATTACTCACACGTACACAAACATCCAAGGTATCATTCTAGTTGACTAAGACTTATGTCTTTTTAAACTAAAGTTTATACACACATTTGATCTTGAACTTAAAATATTCCAAATAGGAAAATACCTGGTCAATTTAATATTACAGTTAATTTTGGTCAACGTTTGGCTCCAGGGTACTGCCAATCTCTCATCTCTGTCCCCCAAAGGACCAGTCTCAGAGTGGTACAAATAAAATCATCCCTAAAGAGTAGGTAACTTCCTCCTTAACCTATAAGTCCCCAGAATTCTCAGTTAACATTTTTTTTTTCATTTTTCTTTTACTTAAAAACTCTGCGTAGGCTTGGAAAAGAGGTACATGGAGACAAAAAGAAAACCAGTGCTTTGGGAATGATTACAAATCTATGCTTCTTTATTGATCATTGTAAAATGTCCCCAGACATCACAATCGATTACAGAACCCTCTCCCCCAACACATATTGTATTCTAACAAACTGCCAAGTGAGTCTCTCCTAAAAGATGTTTTGCTAGAGATAATGTAAGTCCTATTTAATATGACAGTTACTATGGTGATTCTCTTCAAATAACTTTTTGGATAACTTCAGAGTTAGAAAGTCCTATGTTATGGACAGCTATCAACGACTGGGCTGTATTTTTTAAATGTACACATGAAAATACCTCTGAGTAGAAAAGCTAGATTCTGGCTAAAATATTAAACATATTTACAATTTCAGGATATTCCCAAATATAATGGCAATCCCAAAAGTTCTTTCCTCGAGGCATAAAAGTTAGCTCCCTGAGGTCCGTGGTGGTATCGCTCCATCACTCTAACTGAGCTAAAATGAGCACCTTATCAGATCTAATAAGAAAAGCTTTTGTCTGCGCCAAGTGGCAAATCAGCAAGTTCAGAACATGCCCAAGCTCTTGGGTGATTTTATTCACCTTGAATTCACGGTATTATGTAAGATCCCAAACCAAAATACAATTGGAAGCAGCTTAAAGGAAAAGAAGATGTGAAATCCCCGTTTCGGTTAATAGATTCTCAGCATTTGCGTGCATATGTTTGCATACTTTTAGTTTCATATTTTAATCTTTCATTTACACTAAACATGCACATCATTTGTATTATGTAAACTTCTCCAAATGTTAGTCATTTGTGGAACACAGAACAAAATGTTTTAAATAAGGTGATTTAAAGCATTTCATAGTATTAATGAATGTTGATCAGGGTGTCAGAGTATCCAAAATTACATGAATATGTATAATGAAAAAAATCAAGGGTTGCTTTAGAGCTCTTTCAGAATCTGGGCTGTGATACATGGGAAATTCTGATTTCGTTTTTTAATGGCAGGCAATTGCCAGGACCACATTACTCCAACACTTAGAAAACACACTGTCCACTTGAGTTTTCTGGAGTCAACACTCAACGAGTATTTTAGAAACCTACGTGGTGTTTCATTTGTCAGAGTGATGATTGGAGGAGAGGGCAATCTGCTTTATGTAATCAAATTCCCATCTAAGGCGATGTTGCTGACAAAGATTTACATAATTAATTTGGTAAGACTTCTTTGACATAATATTGGAGGAACCAGCATTTCAGGCAGCAGAAGAATCCTATGCAAATCTTTTGCTTACGCCACGTGCATTAATCGACAGAGGAAGAGCTCCCGCTGTGCCACCTGGGAGCAGCCTGGACCAGTTATCACTTGCACTTGTGACAAGCTCAACCCCCTCTATACCCCAACTTTGAACGGCTCCTACACAGCAGATCAGACAAGAAAGAGAACAGTTTAGATGTGTCCCATAAAAATGATAGTCTCACAATAATAAAAATATAAAAAGCAATTAATTTAATTTTAGACACAATAAAATAATTTCCTCTGTGAAATGTGGTAAAAGTAGTCACTGCAACAGCTATTATAAAAGGTTATTGCACTAAAAAAAGTTGTCTTTATGTATGCTTTCTGTCTTTGTCACCGTGTAACCTACTGTATCAACAGCTTGGTGAAAGATGTGATTGATGGACAATGCCTTCCAACTATAAAAGCTAAGAGAATCCAGCTAATTGTTAGATGTATCGGTTGTGCATGAAATGTAGAATGTCATGTAATTTAAGGTGAAAATATTTATTTTGATTTTTGAAGCACTCTGAAGGTTGAATCTGATAGGATTTAGGGCCTCAAGCTGTATATGTAATAATTCCAGGAGGGTTATAGTTTTGTTGATGCTAGTATGTTTTTGCTCTTCTCTCTCCCACATCTTTTCAGAGGCATTAGACGGGGAGAATCAACTGCCTGCTCTATCAGTTCTCGGTCATCCAATCAAGTAGGGCTACTTTATCCTGTGGTGAGAAGATAATTTAATCTTCATATTCATTCCACCCACAGCAGTAAGTGAGCAGAGGCTGCCCCATTGTGTCCTGCAGTCTGGGGATGTTATGATATAGACTACTCTTCAATAGCCAAAAATGAGATTAGCAAAGTTAAAGTCAGATGGCTTTTCTTGAGTGCTAAGGTAAATAAGCATCCAGTATTTAATTTCCCCACAGCACCTGCTGTGGGCCTCTCTGTCTAGTCAAAAATAAAATATACTCTATTGAAAGGGCATATTTACATTATTAAGTGTATTTGCTTGGCCAATTCAATTTTGACTAATGAAGCTTCCTAATAGAATTGTGAATAATCTAAATTAAAGACATAGGCCACTCCTCTTCTAAATGCCACTCTTGTGTGTATAGAGAGATAGATAAAGAAAATTTTAAAAACAGAGCTAAAAATCAACACAAATACTAGCTCACTGTTTTAACTAAGAATTAAAGAAGTTTATAGAAAATTCTTATTCAGTGCTACTTTTTAAAAGCACAAATGCTAAAATTGAATTATAAAACAAAGCCAGCAAAAACAGAGATTTTTGAAGTAAATATAATTAGAAATGCATGAAGACTTGATTGAGATAACTTTTTTGACAGTTATGCTAAAGGCTTTTTTCCCTACTAAAACCTTTTTTTTTGTTGTTAAAAATCACACCGAAAATTCTGCCCAAATGGAGACTGGAACAATGCCTTGAAACAGTGTTAATTGTCACCATGGAAACCAGAAGAATAAGCCATTTTGAAACTGGTATAGAAGGCACACATTGAGCAACTCAAGCATTTTTCTGCCTCCCTCAATGTTAAAGAACAAGATGCCTTGTCACTGTGAGGTCAGAGAAAGAAAGCATCATGAAAGGGTTGTAGATGCTCACTGTCTAGTAAATAAAAAAATAAAAAATAAACTACATACAGCTAATGCTATAAGACTCTACCCGGTGAATCTTTTTGAAACAGAAAGATCATCAAAAGATGGCCAGGACTGGGGGATGGATTCTACCTAAGCAAAACTTCAGGGCTATATTATGTGAACCTTGCCCCCAAAGCTCCCTGGGAATTCTGCTGTTGTAATAAAACTTCAGAAGAGGAAAGAAAAAAGGCAGCATGATGGAATTCAAAATAATGCTCTAAAAGCACACAGAGAGATTAAGACATCCATTGTAAGACTTTTGTATGGTGCTTCTGTTGGTTATACTGAAAGGAGACCAGACATTGCTGAGCGGAGAGTGAAGTTTTGGCTATGAGAAACACAAGAATTAAACCAAAGCATTTTCTCCATTATTAGAATAGGGCTGTCAGACTCTGTGTCTTCAGCGTTTGAGTATTTACATCTTATACCGGCTTTTAACTGGGCTTCATGTGACTTTATATTAGGAAGAGTTAAAGCAAGGAAAATGATCGTTATTAGAATAACAAGTTTGAATATCTTTCCCAGTGCAAAGTTAGTACCACAAACACCTGTATGTCCAGCATAATCCCCTTTCCCATAAACACAAAACAGATAGACAGACGGACAGACAGAGAAGATATATCAAGAAAATAAAATGTATTTTAGTCTATGAACAAGAAAGCACATGCTAGGAACACACCAAAACACTG